AAACAAAAATAATATATATATATAACTTGCCTTAAACTTTGTCTATCACTATTTAAGGTGTTTTAGAGGTGTATGCATTTCTAAATATTAAACTGGATCATAAAGATTAAAAAACACATTGTTGTATTGTTATAATAAATAAAGTTACAGTTCGTGTTGATTACACTGGGAACACCATAATATATGAATTAGAATAGAATAGAATTTCATCATGTCCCCAGTATGATGACAATAAAGCTGTTCTATTCTATTCTATTCTATTCTATTCTATTCTATTCTAATGACTGAAAAGCCTAACTACAGGATTATACAGTAAACTCATATTCTACTGTACAGTGTTGAAATCAATTATACAGTAATAAACTGTTAGTAAATTATAATTAAAATACTGTAAAAATAAAATACTTGTGACCACAGCTGCCAGTGTTTTATTGTAATTTTACAATAAGATTTGGTACAGTCTACTGGAGGCCTTGAACGCACCGCAGTTCCTCCTCCTCTCCACCAGGGGGCGACAACGACTTTGGTCCGGGGGCGGCAGCAGCAGCAGCGCGGCGGCAGCAGCGTCACCACCGCCGAGGAAGCGTGCGATGTATGGTTGTCATGTGTCATACAGTCTGGCTGGCGGTCAGCTGACGGATCCGGGTCGCTTGTGATGTTTACTTTGTTTGTTGAGTGCGTTTATTCGCGCTTTTTTTTTGTTTTTTGAATGAATGCAGCGCTATGCTTCGCCCAGGAGAACCATGGTAGTCGTGAACTCGGTGCTGAAGCTGTTACAGCGGCAGACGTACACCTGTCTGTCCCACCGATACGGACTCTACCTCTGCTTCGGAGGGATCGTCCTCGTGATAGTTTCCGCCTTTCAGTTCGGAGAGGTGAGTTTTCTTCTACTGTCCGGTTTTCTCGCTGGACTAAGTAACGGTGCTCTCACCTAACAGCTGTTTTCAGTTCAGCTCGGGTGGCTGCTGCACGGTCTCACCAGACTCTGTTTAAAAAAATGCATATTTAAAATCAACTTGCTTGTCAATGAGCTCATATGTCTTGTAGGTCTTAAATCAAGACGTGTCACGATACTCTGTTGTGTTCATGTACATTCTGCATATTAAGTCACTCTGTAGCTTTTTGAGGTTGGCTAATTTACTCAAGTTTGTGGGAGGATTATGTGAACATCACTTCAAGCTTTCCCAGAAGTTCCCAATGTGTTACTTGGATATGTGTCAAATTAAATGCCCTTAAATGAATCAGACAATGTCACTCTGCACAGGAGGCGTGGATATAATAAAGGAACAAGGAAACTGCCATGTTTTGTGTTGAATGTGGGTTTGGCTTTTCCTTGGATGTAGTTGATGTTTAATTTTGGAGTTAGAAATGTGAGATCTGCATCTTGTTCTGTCCATGCAGGTGGTGGTAGAGTGGAGTCGGGACCAGTATCATGTGCTGTTTGACTCCTACAGGGACAACGTGGGTGGGAAATCATTCCAAAGCAGGTGAGCGTTCATGCTTCCAAAGAAGACACCAAGCATAACAACTTCTTCTCATTTGGCTGAATGGGATCCTGTATACAGCAAATGTTTTCTGTCATTTCCAGTAATAAGTGCAAAATCTTCCTGGGTGGGGTTTAAAACCAAAAAATCATATTTGTGATTCAAATGTTTATGTGGAATAAATATGCAAACTCTAAGCCTCCAATCTGCAAAAACCTTCCCCATGATGCCAGACAAGGCTGTGAAAGCAACGGAAGAGTGTAGCTATGCATGCATGTACGCAAACGAACTGAGACATGTCGGAGGAAAGTGTGTGCTGAGGAGGAAAACAGGGTCACGGCTTTGCAGTTTGAGCCCTGTCTTGAGTGATATGAGTGTTTGTTTTTTGCAGGCTCTGTCTGCCCATGCCTATTGATGTGGTGTACACATGGGTGAACGGCACAGACACAGCTCTGCTGAAGGAACTGAAGGCGGTCAAAGAGCAACTGGAGGAAGAACAAAGAGCTCTGAGGTAGCTGTGGCTCCCCCGTCTCTGCTGATGTCGTGCTGCAGTCAGACCTCATTCCTGGCAAGCTGCTAGCCATGCTTAAAATACTATGCAAATTTTTTCTTATTTTCGACAATATAGAATGCAAACACGCTCACATGCCTCCAGTTATTCAGCTGAATACAGCCAGAATTCGCACACATGCTTCAGTGTAGCTCTATCATTTTGACACTGATTGGTTAGTTTAGACATTAACCCAGATGAAGAGGGAATCATAGATCAAAGCTCAGACAAATTCTCAGACAATTTTTTTGTTTCTGTTATTCTCTGAACTGTGTGTCCGAATTAAAATTGTGCAGTTGCTCTGTTATTTGGCTTCTTTTAACCTGTGCAGACACTGTTTTACTAGTGTACACCTTGTTCCTGCTCATGAAAACACTAAATTCACTGAATTCTTGCACGTAGGGATCGCCTGGGGAAAAACGCAAGTGAGACGACCGAAGTGCCAAAAGACAGGTGAGTTGTGAGTTGGGTGTTGCTGCAGTATCATAGTATGTCTAATATTGCATCCCACTTTTGGTCTACACAGTATAGAGTGATACAGTTACCTTAAAGGAAATAAACTTTCTCTACGTGACATTGCAAGATGAGATGACTGATCTTGGCGAATTCAAAATAAATCCCTTGTTCAAGTCATGGTAAAATCATATATCTATAGTGTTTCTATAAAGAAGTGTGCTCATTGATTTGCAAAAATGCAGCAACAGGACATATGGAGGAGAAAGCTACCACTGTATTAAAAGTATAATAAAAATCCTGTCATCCTGATTCTGCTCACGTATACAATCTAATCCACCACAAAAGACAAAAGCACTGCCACATGTGCAAAACAAAAATGAGTTAATTCAACCATAGTGTGTTTTGAAGTTGTCGTTAGTGGTTTTGTTGTACCTGAATGCAATAATTTTCATTTTTGTTATGTTAAGCAAAAACATTACAAAAATCTCACTATGGTGCAGTCCAGTTCAACAACACTGTTACTACGACTACTACTACTAATAATAACCATAGATAACTAAAAACTTAACTTTAGCATCTATTGAAATATAATTTAATGCATATTTCATCATGCATATGTAATAGAGAGGCTCTTTACTGTGTATTGCATGCTTGATTACAACCTCAGTTTTTCAGAGTTAATTGTCAGACTTCGTTCAAACTGATATATGACACAATGAAGCAGCAAAGTGTGAACATTAATGTTGAAACAGGAAGGGGGGGTTGGCTGTCATACGACCAGTAAATACAAGTCAAAGGTGTAAACTAACCGATGAGATGTCAGTTAGAGAAAGGTTGCTGTTTTTCCCAGAAATGAAGTGATGGCACTTTTTTTTGGTGTTTACCATTTTGATAAATCCCTTCTTGTTTGACATGTTGAAGAAAAGATTCTGAATTGTGTAGATTTTCTGGGACATTTTAAATGTACAACAATAATTATCAATAATAATCAGTAAGTGTACCCTGAGGCTTTGAAGTAATCAGCTTTGGTTAAGGTGAAAAAGTCATTATTTTCCATTTTGCAGATAGTCTCTGATAACTGTTTAAATCAACATATTGAACCACAGTAAAGATTTCGCTTCAGTTTAGGCGTTTCCTGTTTGGTCACCGCAGAACTGTTGGGCTGATAACGGCCCTCCTCTTTATCTTTTCCCTCCGTCTCGCTGCTGAGTTTTAACCACAGATGCAAAAAGTGTCTGATGGAACGTATCTGTGTTTGCTAAATGTGTGAACTTGACTAATTTCATGCAGATGTCTTTCAAAGGGCAAAACCACAAAGTAAAGGAAGTGGTTGTGTTCCTGAGTGTATGAGGTATAGATGTACTGATGAAAACATGTTGTCCGTTCTGCCCCCACAGATAGTCAACACCACCTCTCATGTTCCAAAATATGCATTTAAGCTCATTTTAAAATGTGTTTATTTATTTTTTTTAAACTGCCTTAATTGTGTAGAAGTGGATATTGTTAAAATACTTTGTCGTCAGTGTTTAGGTCAGTTTGGTTGGAGCTTTTTAGGCTACGGGTGAGTAGTGACAGGGATGATAGATTTGGCACATTAAACTATTTAATTATGCTAACTAGCCCAATATGCTAACGAGCTAAGTGTCATCAGTCTTCCTCCAGATTTCACCTTCAATCCATACTGTTAACTCACGATTTTAACTCCAAGTCACAGTTTTAGGGAAGAATTTCTGTTTCTTCCTAATTTTAGCCAACAATGTTCGATTGAGTTTCCATAATTGTGGCTAAAACCTTTTGTTTGTATATAGTTTTAGCAAACGATTTATCAACACTTTCCTGCTAAAACTTCCAAATGTTTACCTGTAGCTATAGCTAACAATTCCAATTATTTGTCAGTCTTCTAGCTAAAACTTCCAACTCTTTATTCATACTTTTAGCTTATGTCGTCCATATTTATCCATATTTTAAGTTGAAAAACTTTTATTAATCAATAGTTTTATCCATTGTCAAACTGCCAGGTGTTTATCCACACTTTTAGCTAAAAAAATCTAATTTTTATCAACAATTTTTCAGTTAATTTTAGCTAACAGTTGCAATCTTTCAACCATTTATTCATACGTTTAGCTTATCTTCCAAATATTATCCATATTTTAAGCTAAAACTTGTGTCTATCAATTTGTTTATAGTTTTTTAGCTAAAATCTTCCAACTGTTTAGCCATACTTTATGCTAAAAACATCCAACTGTTCATCAATACTTTTATCCACCAGTTTGAGCTGTTTGTCCTCACTTTTAGCTGTTTTCTTCTGCCTGTCCATTTCCAATTTTAGCTTGCTCTATCAACTATTTATCTGTTATGCTTAGCTTACAGTTTCATCTGTTTATCCATAGCCTATTGTTAATTAATAATTTCCTTTGTTTGCCATGCTCTTTGGTAGCTGTATCACTTTGTATTATTACTCATCTATGTTAATCATTTCTGCTTCATTTTGGCAGTCTGTACTCAATGCTTATCCATTACTTTTAGTTAACTATGAACTTGTCTGCTCAAGGTCCACTCAGCTCTCCAATCAAATTCTAGTTTCAATTTTTATCTTTTTATGCACCTTTGCTGCTATTGAAATAACCCAGAGGTGGTCGTAGTGGGAATCACTGCATTAAAGCATTTTCTTTTTCCCTCTTGTGTCCATTCTGTCTCAGTGTGAAGCCTGAATGCCTGCTGTCCCACTGCATCATAGCGCCTATGTTGGCCCTGGACCCGGCTCTGCCAGCCAACGTTACACTCAAAGAGCTGCCGTCAGTCTCTGCCTCCTTCTCTGCTGCCAAAGAGCTGCTGCTTATGAACAAGCCCTTCCACCCGCCCACCTCCGTCTCCGTGGTCATCTTCCATTCGCAGGCTGACGGTAAGAACGTACAAAGGATCAGAGCAGTTTCAGCAAACAAAAGAGACCAAACTTTGGCAGGAAAGGATGTTCCCCAAATGAGTCCAGTCAGCACGCGAGAGAGAGATTCTGCAGGGAGAGCATTAAAATATACCAGCAGTGTAGTAACCAACCGCAGGAGGAGGGTTTTCCCTGAAGTTACAATGCAAAAGATGATATTTGTAATTATGATTGATGAGTAACCGGAAAGTGATGATGCGGTGGCAGTGAGAGAAATCTGCGTAACCAGTAACAGCAGCAGCATTGAAGGACAATAAGCTGCAAGGAAGTGAGAGCAGCAGTTTGATCTGCAGAGATGAAAGCTGACGTGGAGATTCAATTATCATAGATAGTGATCACTACACAAATTGTATATCTTAGGCGTCGACTGATGTGTTTCTGTTGTGTCCAATTCAAAACCAATTATCAGTAATCAAGGAGACTAATAACCTTCATTTTAAACCGATGTAGATTTACATTAAAATTAAATATCAAGCGTACAGTTAAATTTTGAATAACAAACTCTAGTTAGGCTCCAGCCCCTCCTAGTGAGGATTAAGTGGTGTATAGATAATGGATGGATGGATAAACGCTAGTATGAAACATCTGTAATAATTAAAAGAGAACTTTTTACCAGCTCTTCTTCAGCGTTGATAGCAGGTCTTTACTTGTGCTGTGGGCGAGACATTACTTGGAAACACAGATTGTTGGTGGCGGCAAAAGCCAAAGTGGTGCATTTTTAAATTCATTTATTTTATTGAGAATTGGTTAAAAATATTCATACAGATATTGAGAAAATATGCTGGGTATGGGATCCGATAATCGGTGAACCCTTACTCGATTTTTGCTAAATCCCATTGACCCAACTCTAGTCTGCTCATTTCCTTTAACATCATGCAGTAAGCTGTTGTAAATTATGCCCCCCTCCACACATGAACAGGATTCAGAACCTAAAGTACAATATCTATGAATTGTGTCCACATTTACACAGTGTCATAGTTCTGCTGGACTCTATTACCGTTGAACGCCTGTAAGAAATGTAAAGATTTATACTCATGACTTGCTGTAAAACATTCTGTATTCATTGCATACATAATAATTAATAAAGTAAAATGTTTATTCTCTTTAAAACAGGCTGGAGTTAAAATTCAGCACTATTCTGCAGTCCTTGTATTACTGAAGCAACCAGTTTTACCCTTCTGCTGTAGCAAAATTGAAAGTATCAACCATGACACAAATAATTAACCTTTAAAAAGACAATGCGTTCAATAGTAAGAGGCTCTGATCTCTGACAGGATAGTGCAGAGCCGTGGCAATTAACTGGCTACTTGTAATGCAACAATGAGATCTAAGTGGTTTAAGTTTCCGCTTAAGTAATCCAGTGGCTTTGTGCAGTTTGATTTACTTGGTACAGCCTGATACCCACACCAGGATGTGGATGAATAGGAACATTTTGAGCATTCACCCTAATGCATAAATGAGCTCAGCTTTCACTTGTTCTTATTATTATTGACTACAAGTCTGATTTTTATAAGCTGGTGGTTAACTTATTTGATTTTTCTTCAATTTTTTAATAAACAGATAATGGACAAGAAGCTTTAGTCTCAATTTTAAATGGGTATAAAAAAGAATAGATCAAGGAATGAAGAAAACATGGCAGAACGGAAACAAAACCAGAATGCACACATCAATGAAAATGAAAAAAAAAATCACAGTTAAATGGCAAGTCCTTACAGAGTTAAACATCTTCATGTGTATGCAGACGTACGCAGACCATCAGAAAAAACTGAGTTTGTCAGTCTGGGATGGAAGGAAAAGTCAAATTATCAGCATATGTGGGAAAAAAAAATCTCATGTCATGTTAAAACTAGAAGATGACCATTTATTGTTTTCCAGCAAACTAGAAAACGTCAATCAGTCAGTGAATCAAGTGACCAGGATTAGTTGAGGGCAGTTTTATGAGCGTGTATTCATCGATAATCAGTCATAGTTGAGGGCTGTTACTGCTCAGGAAATCTGCGAACACACTTAATTACTCAGCATGTTGCTCGAGGACATATCTACATTCTGCTGCTCATCATCTATTCATTGCTTTATCCAGCTGACAAAGCGTATACGGATGTGTTGAAAGAAGACCAGAAGTTGTCTGTGTCCAGATGTTACCTGGTGAGTTGAATACACGCAGTAACGTATTGTCCTATCGTCTTTGTAAACGGCCTCGTTCATATTTATGACCACAGGATGAAGGTAATTACACATCAAAAGGTGTTTTCTCTCGAACGTTCAAGTGTACGTCTTTGTTGTGTGTCACGCAGACGACAGATAAAGAGGCTCCCGGTCTGATCCGCATGCAGTCTCTGGCCTATCTGAGCGGCTTCCCGGCAACCTTCAAGGAGACGGAGCAGCTGCGAGTCAAGCTGCCCTCCGTCATAACCAGCAAGATCAAACAGGTAAAACAGTCATTTTCTGAATCAATCCTTGGGTTTCTTTAACAAAACAGCAGCATCAAAACTTGTTTCTTGTAGTGATCCTGGATAGATTTGGTCTTTGCAAGAGGAACGAGATACAACAATGCAGAAACTCTTTTTTTATTCAGTAGTGCACTTCTGTAGTTTTTAAAATTCAACATATTTGGACATCTTTGCAATAATTCTCTGTTCGTTCTTTCTTTTGGTTACATTCAGTTTGTCTTTGGGATATTTTAATTTAGAAATTATTATTTTATTCTTATTTATTACATCTTGTACATTTTATAAAATATAAGTGACAGCTTTTTTTTTCTTTTTTCTTTTTTTTAACACTTTTGCACCCAAAACTTGTGCAAAATGTTGAAACGCTGTATGCTGTATGAGGTGCCTGGCCACAGGGTATCTTAGGTTGGTTTCAAAACAGCAGGTGGCAGAGTTGCTCTTTTTATCAGTGTACAAGTAATACTCTGATTTTACGTGTTTAGTGCAAAGAAAATGCTTTATTTCCTTCAGTTTTCTTTAAATTGGTGCCATCGAAGTGCCAAAGGAAAAGTCAACTTTTACATCACAGATGGTGCCACCAAATGTCACATGTATAAAATCCTATCACAGTATTGAGGGATGTTTGTACATCATCATTATACTATAACACAGTATATAACGATAAGATACTACGGTATACACTGTAATTTTGTTTTTGATGGTCATAACAACAAATTCTTAGAAAGATCTGATCACGAATGTGAAACCCTCCTTGAAGAGGAGGTTGCCCCGTCCTGCTAAAAAGGGCCTTTTTCTATTTTAAACAGTTATGTTGCGATGTGGATAAAGGGCCTCTGTTTAGCTTGGCAACTTGTGTATCTAATAATTTTTCCTAATCAGAACTCTGCTTTATATTTCGAGAGGGAGGAATGCCACTAACAAGCATGGATTACTCAGAAATAACCAAAGAAAACAAAACAGGCTGGAGCTGAGTGACCCTGTCACGCCGGGCGACGGGCAGGACGGACATGAGTCAACTGTTTGTCCTGTCTTCTGATAATATACTCACATGGCTGATGACAATTAATGAGTGATAGATTAGATAACAGCTTTCATAACTGCCTTTGCATATCACAAGAATGCAAAACAAATGTGTTATACAATAGCTTTGCATCAATGGATTCTTAAGTAGAAAAAGATCAAACAAAACAAGTAATATGAATGTTTACTTTTACTGTTTGTACTGAATTAAAAAAACCTTCATACTAATTGATAACGCCTAATGTCACAGCGCTTTACGGCAAAATAAAATAAACTCACACATTCACATATAACATAGTTGTAGTTCAATACTCACTTATAGTTTTTTAAGCCAGTTAATCAGTTTACAATAAATGCAAAAGATTCCTCAGCATCTCTTCAAGGTTTTTCAGCTTTTACTTCACTGCAAATGCAAATTTATCCACTTTTAACGAGCATGATAATCTGTTTAACGCCTGGCTGAGGGCTAGTCATGGTAGGTTTTCCAGAGCACAGCAACACAACCACGTGTTGCAATGTTTGGCATGTAGGAAACAAAGATATACAGTCTTTTGATTAGTTATATCCACCCAGGAAGCATGCTGATGTAGGCACAAAGGAACAGCAAAATAAATAATATACAAAATGCTGTTCCTATTTTAAAACTAAACTGTAACTATCTGAAACTTGCCTTATGTTCTGTATATTAGTTGCGATTTTAAAATTATTTGCAAGCACAAATCGGGGGAGAATCTGTAAAGTGGAAGCTGCCGTGGACCTCGAGGGAGTCAAAATCACTGTAACTGTATATGTGATGATATGTAGGTTAACAGCATTTAACCTACATATCATCACAATCACAGTTGTCCCATCATTCCTTGCACTGGTCTCCAGGTTTGCCATGATATACCCTGCTAGATCATGTGATAATAACGAGTGGTATTCGGGCTGTAACCTTAGCTGGCAGTGTGGGGGTTAACATTAGAACAACTGTTTAGAGAGGCACGGCGCCAGACGGCACGCTGAAAGGTCACCAGGATTTCACCGACCAGCTCCCACTCCGCCGTCTCAGACATTTAGACCCGGTTTTACCTGTTTGGAGTGCAGTTTTGCTATTTTGTCAGTGGAACATGCTGCAAGGGGCGTGATAAAGAGGGTGGGAGTAAAGATGACACTGGAGCCGCACGGAGTCCAGGAAAGACAATGGAAAGTGTGTGTGTTCCTCGCTTCGGGTCGGAGGGATTCTAGGTACACGAGCTGCCGCACAATGCGCAGTTTGGATTTCAAGGTGTTTCCTGGTGTCACTCGGCCGGTTCTGTGAAAGAGGGATGATGTGCATAGTGTGGAGGGAGAGGTTCAGCGGTGAGGGGCGGCTGGTATTTATAGCTGGTGTTAGACCGAGTGCTATGGTGATGAAAGCTGCGCTGCAACCCCCATCATCTGCCCGTGCTGTCGCCTGTCAAGTCCTGCTGCCCGTGTTTGTGTACAAGCCTGCTGATGTGTTTGTATTTGCCGGTTTCAAAGCGCTTGAGAAGCCCGCGAGTGTCCACACGGTGTCCCTTCTTCACCGTGAAGCCAGATCCAGAAGTTATGTCTGACATGTACACAGTAGCAGGGTGCAGTGAAATGCAGGTTAGCAATAAAATGAGACTAATATTAGAAATGAATGTTCAAAAACTAAAGAGAGATTCTGAAAACTTTAAATGTAGATTTTGTGAAGCAAATTATATGTTAGTGTTTTGTACATGCTTGAGTGCAAATATGCAAATACAAAGCGTCAGGTACCTCGTTGTACTGATCTCTGTATAGATAATGAAATGAGCTGTGACATAATGATGTGTTCAGACAGGCTGCAGCTCACAGTTACTTTTTAGGAAGTCTATGATTTTTTTCAGTTAAGAAAAAGGTGAAAAATGTCCCCATAGTTTCTCAAATTCCTCAGTTAGTTAATAAAAACTGTCAAAAATCCAAAGATGTTCTGATTTCTCTCAGACAAAATACAGAGAAGGAAGAAAAGCAGTAATTATCTAAGTGTTGAAATGAGAACGACCTGTATTGGCTTGAGTCTGTTGAAAACATTTCATCTCTCATCTGAAAGACTTCTTCAGTTCTAACTGACTTTTGGGGAGTCTGATGCATTTAAGTGCTTGAGGAGCTATTACCACCTTAAAAACTGGTCACTTCGCATGTAAGTCAGTTGCCTTTTGTTGAAAGATGCAACTTCTTCAGTAAACAAACAAGTCCAGTTCGCTTCATTTTGACACTTTGATATATCAGGACCTGGATAATGGAGAATCTTTACAGACAAAAGCAGTTGATGTTGTTCATCATGGAGCTGAAACCAGTGACTTTTTAGGGATTTTTGCTTAAAAAAAATGTTACTTTCATGACTGATTGCTTTAATTCTGATGTTTATTCAGTAAAAGTTTATGCAAATGCTCTTAAAGGGAACCTTTATTTTCAAACCTAATTCCCAGAGTTCCCTTTCTCATGTTCCATCAGCTTCAGACTTCCCTGCACGTCAACATCAGGTGATAATGTCTCATGTCAGGATGATTAATGTCGACAGATCGGTTTCGTTGAAGTGGGTTTTATGAGGTACTTGTCAATTGTCGAGTATTACTCACAGCATATCACGTACCATCAGTCTGAGATGCGGACAGGTGATCCGGCACGGAAGCTAAACAGTAAACTTCTGCGGACGGGTTCAAAAACAGAATATATTTCAACCACTTAGAAAGAAAAATCACTTTAGGAGAGCTCAGTTTTTAGATGTTTTCATTACTTTACCGTACCTTTATTGAGCCCTTTCCAAGAGAGAACTGAAGCTGTTACACCCAGATCAGATCTGTACTGGCATGTTTAAACACCAAAATGACACAATAACAGACTGGCAGCCTTCATGATCTGCAGGTTAAAATGAGTGGTGGTTTTTGACTGGTGGCTTTGAAGACAATGATATAAAAGCTTCAGTTCACTGCTTCTCCATACTGGGGGTTTCTCCTCGTCATTTACTGTATTCATCCACTGACTTTCATGCAACCCCACCTCAAAGAAACCAAACTATCCCTTTAAATCAAATTTTTCATCTCAGATAAATAACATCCTCAAGAACAGTCTGCGTTAAATGTGTGTCCAAGTAACTTTCCTGGATTGTCTCAGTAGGATTGTCAAATTTTTGACTTATAGAGACTTGTTCTATGTCAGATGTTTGCAACGGAGCTATCTCACTACTTTTTTTTGATCTAGAAAAGAGTCTCTATGGAACTTCACTGTCAAACTAATATCCTACGCTTTTTAAATTATTAAAACAAAACCAATTGAACTGCTACAGAGTTTTTCTGGCCTGTCTCTGATGTTCAGTGTTGACCTAATCTCTCCATCCAACAGAATAATACAACTTAAGTTTAGACGAGGCTACAAGTTGCTGTAACATCTGAGTCCAGCTGCCTGAAAAGGTCGCTCACCACTGGGTTAATTAGTTTACCCACAGCGATGATTTTTTTCTTGGCTAATTACATTTTTTTAACCTCTGCAGCAACATGCAAGCCTCAGTGATTATAGTTTATAACGTGTTGAGAGTAAAATACACCCGGGGCTTGTTAATGCCGCGGTGAGGAATAACTTCAGCTGCTGTCTGGAGGATGTGCAAGATGATCTGACAAAACCTGCAGTGTTTACTTTTTCAACATTAAATTTCACTGACAGCACAGGCACCACAGCTCATCTTTCTGTCTCCTCTCCTTGAAAACAAACATGTGGTTCCATATTTTTAATCCTACTTGAGATTGTTTTTCTGAAGAAGAGCAGCTTCCTCCCTCTAGAGACTCGAGTCGCATTTGACGCCAGGAAAAACGACTTGTCCGCTTCCAGGTCGATGTTTGTTAGCGATACAAACATTTTGGTGACAGGTGTCAAGTGCGTCGTGGCAAATCAGTGCTGCTGGTTATAGCTCCACTGTTTACGGTGACAAATGTTAAAGCTCTTTCCCGACATGCAATAAGCAACATTGCTGACTTCATTCATCTGTTAAAGTGAAAGTATTTCATAAACCCAGAGGAAATACACCTACGAACAGCTGGAAGCAACAAACCGAACTGCAGTGCCTGTTAATGTTTTGTCAGAAGCTGTTTTAGTCATTAATCTGACGTGCTAATCTCAGCCTTAGTTGTAGTGAAGTTTTATTTTTTATAGACATTCAAGTTTGCGATAGAGGTGACATTGTAGAGCAGAGTGAATTAGAAAGGCGTTTTGTGATTTTGGCACACATACTGCATCTTTAGCACTCTGTTAAATTTCTGGACTAGTAAGTGCTGAAGTGTGGAAAAAAGCCTTTGTGAAATTACACATTTTGAAGTACATCGCCTTTGTGTGCTGATTGGTTAACGTGGCTGCATGCAGTCCACACTTGTGCTGTGTTGAAAGTGGTACATAGATGTTGTTGGGTCTGATTGGGTAAGATAGTCGTTGCAACTTTTACAGAAAAGTGAGGAGGATGCTTAACATGTTCAGTTGCCATCAGGTTAAATTAAAGAAGTGAACATCTGAAAGGAGCTTTACTGTGTGCGGTGATGCTGAATTCTAAAACAGTCTCATAAGAGCACAATAACAAGCATTATAGTGCAATATTTTTTTAACTTTAAGTTATAGCAACACTAACCTTATGTTATAGCAAAAATACCCTCAGAACTTACAGCCGTTTTCTATTTTGTGCTCAGATTTTGTAGCTAAGCTCGAAAATTTAGGAATGAAAGATTTTCTAAGTGACAGATGTAACAAGGTCTTCAGATGTTGGTGTTTGGTGATTTTGGACCCAGGCTGGTCTTAAGAAGCTCTTGATTTAGACTTCAAAATGTGAAAAGTGTCCATCATGAAGTCTCAGAGTCTGGGCTGAAGGTCCACAAGTTGCTGTTTTGTCTGACCAACAATCTTATGTAGATATACAGTTTATATAAAACAAACAAAATCCTCTCGGGGCTTCTTAATGCAGTAGTGAGCACACAGATGTGGAGCTGAAGAAGCTTGGTGATAAAATACTTAATATTGATGAATGTAAATGTTTTTTTCTCATACTTTTTTTTTTTTAACTTTTCAACTTTTTCAGGTGAAATTACTTAACTTTGACAGGTTTAATCATTACTTAACCGTCGCGTAGTAAATAACCAGACTTATGTGCACACGCCTGTCTAAGGCCGCCACACACCTCTGCTTTTTGTGCATGTGTTCGAGCATTATCAGGACTATAAAGAGAGCTGTAATAAAGATGGCAACGTGATCCGTGCCTTGCTGTCTCTCCGCTGGGTTTATAAGTACCAGCTAATCCTCCTCACCTAAAAACAGGAGCGGAGAAAAACGGACGAGTCGAGGCCGAACACGAGCTCGTGCGCAGAGGTCGAAGAAGAATTCAGAGCCTTTAAAAGTAGTAATTCTGCATTACAAGGAAATCCTGGTTTGAAAATGTTATTTAAGTAAAGGTATGTAAGTATAGTCAGAAATATGTACTTAAAATACAATGCAGAGAGTGACTGCTACTCTATGATATATGATATCATTTGAATAGTATTAATCATTATTAATCTGTAAACAGAACCTTGCCATTGGCAGCTCATTTTCTAACTATGTAATATTATGGACTGATCTGATTATTATCAGTTGTTTGATTGATTTGTTGTTTTTGTTATATGGCTCAATATGACACCTTCACAAAACTTTTTGCCCAACCCACAGTCCAGATCTCTAAGTTATTAAAATAAGTTAAAGGAAGAGCTGCAAGTTATCACATTTAAAAAGTTGGATCCACTAAATATTGGTATTTTTACATGAAAAATGACGAACCTACTACACCAATTTTATATGCATCTTAGTCTATAGAAAAGCATTAAACAGTAATGTAAATAAACTGAATAACTAAAGACGCCAGACAAGTACAGTAGTAAGTACAATATTTCCTTAAGAAATGTAGAGGAGCACAAATATAAAGTAACATAAAAATGAAAATGCTGAAGTACTTCAATAAATGTACTTAGTTACATTCCATCACTGCCCATGGGAGATGTTTGTATTCGGTGCTGGGTGATGGAGAAAGTCTGAGAGAGGAGACAGAAGGTTTTTAATGGCCAAGGCCAGGGGTGTCTCTCTCACATATATCACACACACACACACACACACACACACAC